TTCGGGTTCTTGCCATGTCGATCTATACACCAAAGTAGGTGGATTTAGATCTTTATTTACGATAGGTGTGTGAATCCTCTTTATCACTCTAAAACGTTACATGCTAGTTCTAATATCGTAATCGAACGGTTAGAATCCTAAACACGTAAGGTTTCCAGATCCAGTCGGCAACAGACCATAGATTCGAACAATTAATAGCATATACGGCAAACATAAAGCATTTAGCACATAAAAGCATTTTAGGCATCTTTCCTAAAATAAACTATTGTTTGTGTCTAAAATATGGAAGGCACTCATCTCACAGTCATCACTTAGCATTCTAAGTTTAAGTCTAGAAATCCTACAAATTCCTAGTTCGCTTAAACTAATGCTCTGATATCAACTGTGACATCCCCATTTTCACGGCCAGAAAAGACCGATTTGTTTATGCTTCATTTTTAAAATCAGAGTATACTTTTAAAGAAAAGTGTTGCGGAAATTGTTCCCAGAAAAACATGATAAGTATGTTATCAAAGAATTTCCGAAGAAATGTATTTTATTCACTTTAAAACTTTGGGATGTCAACGTCAATACAGAAACATAAGCATAAACAGAACTTACATTCATTTACATTAGTGATCTACATCTCTTTAATCTCTCAGTGTAGTGTAGCTTTATATCGACACCTGTGATACAAATAAACTGAGTGTGTCAGGTTGGGAAACCTGGTGAGTACATAGGGTTTTCAACCCATAATAATATAGTTATTATGTTTAAACATCGAATATTCAACACAATTACCCATCCCCATTATCTTCTTTACTCTTAAGGATCATCTATCATTCACTTTTTCATTCCTAAGGATTCTCCAAAGGAATAGGCACGAAGTCCATCTTTGCCTATGGCGCAGCTGCCAATGTTATCTATTAGACGCAGCTGCCAATATTATCATTTAGGTGCAGCTGCCAGGATTATGAAGTTCTCTATCAGGCGCAGCTGCCGATATTATCCTTTTGCGCAGCTGCTAGGATGTTTAGAGTACATCGTAGTTCGAAAACATCTACAGGTTGTGGTGCAGCTACCAATATTTATCTATAACATCTTTCATACCTCATCATTTATCTACCCATGTTCTACCCAACATATTTGAAGATATAAAATACATCTATAGTTTTAGATCTGAAGAAAAGGTTCAGATCTGAAAACAAAATACATCTACAATTTAGATCTAAAGAATAGGTTTAGATCTGAAAAAAAAAATACATCTATAGTCTAGATCTGAAGAACTGGATCAGATCTGAAAAAAAATACATCTATAGTCTAGATCTGAAGAACTGGATCAGATCTGAAAACAAAATACATCTATAGTCTAGATTAGAAGAACAGATTCAGATCTGAAAACAAAATACATCTATAGTCTAGATCTGAAGAAAAGGTTCAGATCTGAAAAACAAAATACATATACGGTTTAGATCTGAAAAACAAAGAAGTTTAAATATTTCATCTAGCACAGATCTCCAGTAAATATGCACACATAGCGCATAATTTATATAAAATATTTCATATCTATGTATAAGATGAAAGTAACTATGCACTCACTTGATAAGGTGGTGATTCGAACATCACTTCGCTTCTTAAAATAATCTTCTTTGATGGAACCGGGAGGTTTTCTTGAAAACTGGGCTCTACGCCGGCAGAGTTTTAAACCGAAAAACTCTTTTTCTTGGAGCCTTCAAGTGCTCCGGAACTCGCTTCTAGCACTTAGGAAGTACTAGGGAATGGAAGAGAGGTTTTGGGGGTAATGGGAGAAAGAGTATGAAAGGTGTGAGTTTTTGGGGGTGATTTACGCCTCTATTTATAGGCTGTCTGGACCGATTCACTTCGTGAAAAAGGGTGCTCACGTCGTGAGCCTTGAGTAGGCTCCAAGGCGAAGTCTGGTGCTGACACGTGGCGTCGGACGCAGGTAAGACAGTCAATCTTTAAAAATTCATAACTTTCGCATACGAACTCCGTTTTTGACGTTCTTTATATCCACGCGTAGGTAAAGACAATATGTACAACTTTACTTTTAACTCCGTTGGCTAACTCTCAATAGATTTTAAATTTAACAGTATGAGAAGATTATACTGTTAAATGACTGCGTAAAATTCATAACTTCTACATACGGACTCCGTTTTCGTTTGTCTTTTTATCGTTGATCTCCTATTAATGATATTTTCAATTCTCATTTAGGTTGCGTTGGCCAAAAACCGATCGATCTAAAATTCAAATTCCGGGTTATGCACTGTTATGCCAAATCTTAGAAAAATCATAACTTCCTCATACGAAGTCAGACTTAGGCCTTCTTTTTATGCCTTCATTTAGATTGCTAAGGCTAAAAAGTATTCTATCGTAAATTCACTATTTACGTCACGCAGTGGCGTGCCGGTTTTGTCGCGAAACTTCGACGGGTCATAACTTCTTCGTTATAACTCAGATTTTGGCGTTCTTTAAATCTCTGGAATCCTTGTCACGACCACTACAACTTTATTCGTAGATATTGGGTTTATCTAACATTTTGTTTTTTGCCGCTTATTTTTATTATATCTTTACAAACAAGTATATAATCACATAAAATCACATAATTCACATAATATTCAAGTAATTCATCTTTATTACTTTTAAATAGGTTACAATGGTTGACCTAGACTATTAAATCATCGTATCAATGCTTAGCCTCGAAACACGGGCGTTACATAAAATATCTTTAAGGATTTGAGTAAATGATAAATGGGTGTTTTGGTCGTTTTAAAAATGAAATTTTTACCTTCATATTTTGGGATGTTACATGAGCGCAATTTAAAGGCTATAACCTCTTGAGGCCCTCTTCATACTCAACCTCCACCATCTTAAGCAGCCACCTCGAAACCCTAGCCATTTTGTGAGAGTTTTGTGACCTTAGAGTGTTTTGTGTTCATCTTTGAAGGAGAAGCTTCATTTGGGAAAATATACTTAGGAAGCTCCAAGCTTGTGGATCTAGAATTTTCATCTCATAGTCCTCCTCCAGAAGGTATAAAGTTTCTACATTGATGATGTTTCATGTTAAATCTCGTTACTCTTGAGATTTCTATGTTTTGTCCCCCATAACTTTGGTTTTCATGAGTATGAGCTACTCCAAACCATTTGAGTATCATTTCAAGACGTTTTTAGGGTTGTTAAGTTATAAAAATGAGAGCTTGGTCACCCTAATCCATCCATGCATGGGTTCTTGAGCAATAAATAGCTTTAGGAACCTAGGTTTTGATTTTGTACTCTTGGTGACCATGCAAATGGATAAAGTCAGAGACTTTATCCATTAAGATGTCCATTTGGTATAGATCTAAAAGTATGGAGAGTTGATCTTCTATTTTAAGGACTTAATGAAAAAGTTGGACATCAGGTGCTACATCGGGCGTAATTTTCTGTATGTTAAGCGTTGCCTTGAATTGGCATGTTTTCCCACCTTAAGCTTTATGTTGAGTGTAGAGTTGCATGCTACGCTGAGCGTAGGTCGACTGGAGTTTAACCGTTGACTTTTTGACCAAGTTTGAATTTAGGTCAAACTTAGGGTTTTGGGTGTAGTTTGAGGTTTGATCCATGTTTGTTATATAAGTGACCTGTAGAGCTGGTAATCGGATCTGTGATCAGTACTGTTATCTTCTAGACTGGGAGGTGAGTTTTCTCACTATACTTTGTATTACAGTATATGTCCTTGTGTGTAGGATGTTGGTATACTGTAGTGATCTGTTAGATTTGGTAGATCTGTATGATTACCTGTACTTGTTGGTTATTGATCATTGTTTGCATATGTCGACATGGTGGGGTATTTCGGGGAAACTCACTACGCTTTGGCTTACCGTTGTTGATTTCAATGTTTTCAGGTGCATCAGATGATCAGGGCAAGGCGAATGCATGATTGTACACATCCTCCTGCTGGTTTATGTTTTCAGAGATTATTTGATACTCTGATTCTATGGATTTGATTTGAAAACAATGGTTGATTATCTTATGGTTTTTGTGGAAATTTTTACAAAAAGATTTTTATCACGGTTTTTGTGATGTTACAGTTTTTATGCTTCAAATGTTTTTAGATAAAAATTAGAAAACGAAAATTTTTAATTATGTATTGTAATTTAAATATTTTAGATAAAATCTAAACAACAAAAATTATTTATATATTTAAAATATATATATAATAACAAAGTTGTGAAAAACGAGGGCAAAAATGTAAAAAGAAAAAAGTGAGAGACTAAAATTGTAATATTTCAAATGGTCTTTGCGTAAAATTCACAAATGGTCCTTAAGCAAGTTTTACAAAATAGTAGAAATAGTCCCTATCCAAAATTCTTTCAACTTAACGGATCCATCTAACGGACATCCACGGTAAGAACCATTTGTGTGCAAGGTTTGCTCCGTAGGGACCATCTTAGAGAAAAAAGTTTCGTAGGGACCATTTCAAAGAAAAACTGTAAAGCTAAGAGATGTAATGTGGGTTCAAGTGGTCAAGGTTGTTCCAAAGTTATTTCGCATCCGGAACGAGAAAAACATAACGCCGTTCAAAGACCCCAATTTAGCACATTCAACAATTTAAAAAATACTTTTTCTAGCATTTTTAGATGCAAAATCACTACTACTAACGGTATAAATATATGTAGTAAGTAATAACGAAAAAAAAAAAACCTTATGACTAGAATAGTATGAGTTGTTTATTTCCCCATTTTTTTCCTTCGAAATTTCAAAAATCAACGATAACGACAAATAAGAAAAAATAAATAATATTAAAACCCAAATAAAAACATATGCAAATTAAAAAATACACACCCAATTTATCATTCACTTATGGATAGATTATGAAACGAGAGAAAAGGTAAGGGACTAGAACAGGTAACATTAAGCGACTTTGGTAATTATATGCTTAAATAATATATGTTTTAATGTTGGTTTAGAGATAAAAAAAAAAAAAAAAAAAAAAAAAAAAACCAAACTTTTCCAATTATTAATAAGCTTCTAGTTTCTGCGGTTGCCACCTTGTATACAAACATATAAGAATGATGATGCTATGAGCAAAATGAACAATACCCCCAACATTTGGAAATTGGCATTTAAATTCCTATACACCCACTCTTCAAAATATTGAAGAAAAAAAAAACTAGAAATCCACAAGGGTTAGACACAAAGAACATCACTATAAAGTATAAAAGTTCTGGTAATTTTTCTACACATCGGGTGGTTTAGGTTGAAGAGGTTGGGGAAGGTTGAACATGGGTGCTACACCGAAAATATCGGCTATTTTATGAACTGCTTCTTTGTATGTGCCGTGTGTTGGCGACACGGAGTTTGGTAGGGCGGGTGAGCAGTCGGGCAGATATTCCTTTTTGTTGGATGTGGGAGTGTATAGCGATAGCACTGCCCGACAAAATATGAACCTGACACACCAAACCAAAACATCTTTTTTTTTTTTTTTTTACAAAAATAACCACAAATACTCTTTTTTATTATTTTTATCATATGAGCGACTAAATCCATAAAATGGTGAAAGTATGTTGTGCTTTTCTAAATAGTCAAAAAAGTACAAGTATACCGGTTTAGTCACAACACAAAATAGTTAAGTGGTGAAATTGATAAAGTAGACATGTTTTAAAATATTTTGCCTTGCATATCTCATTAATTTGTAAATAAATAATCAGATGGTTTTGCAACGTACCTTAAAAGCAACCTTCTAAGAAACGGATCATTTAAAACTTGGGCCCACACAGGATGAAGCGAGTCTGGAGATACCACGAGGTTTAAAGCCAAAGTATCTCCCCAGTGATTTAAAGCCAAAGAAAGAACCCTTTCAGCCTCATTGAGTTTATCCTAAGAGTAAAATTTCTATTTTAGCAGCCAACAAGGGCAGAATGGTAATTATGTATTTTGTAGAGAGATAGAGAGGGGCATACTGTCTGGATGTCGGGACCCGAAAAGCCGATTAAGATAAGAAAAGCCTGCAGTGGAGCTGTGAGAAAGGTTGTGAATTGACTTCCATTTGGGTCACCAATTGAAGAGGTTGGAGATAGGAGCATTGCAACTGCCTCTCCGTTTACTTCTCTTTCCAAACTCTGTCACAATATGCCAAAATTAAAAGTAATCATTTTGATACGGAACATACATGACTCTGGACATAAGGGTAAAATCGTCATTTACTCTCGTTCAGACAATTCATTCTGTCTATATGCAACATATAGCAATGTACTTTTAGTGATTTGTTTATTATAGCATCCTATTTTCATTTCTTCCTTATTACAGCATACTACTTTGAAAAATCTACCAATTATATTCATAGCAATATCATTCGAATACAAAACAATTTTCACTGCTACGATTTGGTAGATTTTTCTAATTATAATGTCCTAATAAGAAAAAAAAAATTGAAAGCACAATGCTCTCATTGGGTATTCTTTAAAGTACAATGCATTAATAAGAAAAAAAAATTGCAAGTACAATGGTGTAATAGTAAGAAATGAAAGAAGGATGCTATAATATACAAATAAATGAAAGTACGTTGCTATTTCTTGCATTTAGCCCTAAAAGAAAAGGTACCCCTTCTGTGAAAAAAAAAAAAATTTAATGTTATCAATATTTCCTAGTGATTATTACTAACAGATAAATATGACATTTTGAACTCAAATCCTTGATTGTCTGTCATGATTTCCTTTATAACAAGTGACTAGGTGAGATTTCATCCATCCAATTAGAACACTTATCGTCTTAAAGTCTTAAAAGAGTTTAAGCTTACCTTAAAAGCATTACTTTTCTCACTATCAATAACAAGGAAAAGTGGTCTTCTTGTAAATGGAACCAGGTCACAAGGATATATCACATTTAAACCTGAAATCAACATCATTCTTAATCAAAAAAATGTCTTAATTTCTAACTGCCATGTCATAATAATATTACAATAATTTACATTAGAGTACCTCCATTTCCTTTAGAACCAAGATTCACACCTCTAGAATGGTCTCCAGAACCATTCATAATCTTTTTCACTGAAGAACTGTTTGTGTTATCAGAGGGTGGTGAAGTACATGCAGCATCTGAATGTATAACAAACAGAGGCTTAAAGCTTACAGACATGAACTACTTTACAAATTTTACATAACAAAAAAAGGCAGAAAAAAGAGATATAAAAATGTGACCTGGAGCAGATATATAGAGTAGGAGAACTCCATCAGGAGGAAGCTCCTCACACACAGTAGCCAAAACCTGTCACCAACAACACATAACAAATTCACATTTTTAACTTACAATTATTACAACTAAAATTCATAAATTAATAGTAAAAATTGAGTTTACTGACTGCTAAAAAATGAGTGATGGATGGACGATACAAGACAGCTTTGCGTGGATTTGGTGGCAATGTAGGATCAGAAATTTCCTGATTGACTGCATGTTGACCACTGGTCAAACTTCCACTTGATTGGTAGAATGAGCCACTTGGTTCCCACTCCAAACATTGAAGCATTCTGAAGTTGTCAAGAGTGAGCTCTGAGAATTTGACCTCATTTGGATGATAGCTGCACAGTATCGCGTCTCTCAGTTTTAGGTTTCTTATCACATTGGGGACAGGTGGCAGGCTATTAGGCTCTACATCTAATGTGAGGCTGTATCTTAGAGGCCTTGTATTCATAAAAGCTGTGTCCACTTTCAGAAACTTTGTTATTTCTTGTATCACTAGCTTCCATTCTATAAAGTCAGTGTCCTGAAACAAGATCATATAAAAGTGATATATAAGATGCATGAACATTCCCATGTGAATGCCAAAGTAAGCGCCACATGTATGTAATATGATAAAGATGCCTATGTGGATACCATGTAGGCATGAAAAATGGTTTTACTTGTTATAACAGGTTACAATGAGCAAATGCATACAGATCATCAAATTCAGTGGCAAACTCGCCCCTTTTGATACCTAAATGGGCAAAAGGGTAAATTGGTACAACTTTAATGGTAATATATGACATAAACCCTAAGATTAAATACCTGGAAAGTCCTCTTGCAGTCAGCAACTAGCACTTTCAGCTGACTTACCAACCGATAAACCATCTCTCGTTTGTTCAACATTAAACACACAGTCAAGAATCTTGCAATGAACCTCAACTGTTTGTTGGCAAGATTCACATCCTGTAAGAGTCCATCTTTGAAATACTCCCTAGTCAAGATTGCTTCATAAAAGATATATGACTCTGACAGATAACTGGCTACACTTGTTCTCATATATTGTCCGAAATAAAGTTGCCCTATTCGCGATGCAATATCACCTATTTCCCATCTCTTCAGTCCTGCTTCCACAAGCTTTTGTCGATTGTCTTGTTGAAATTTCCATAACTGTGTATAAACTTTGAATACCTTGTAGAAGTAGGTATCATACCTATTGCAAAACAACTTTATAGTTAAGGAGTATCAAATGTATTGGTGCAAGGTTAACTAACTAGAATATCATATAGCTGCATTAAACAACAGGAATTTGCCATAAGCATACACAACACCTAAATTACATACAAAACCACATTGTGTACCCTAATTGTTCATTTTCATAACTATAGTTTTATACGTATTACTTCTACTATCATGAAGGTTAGTTGATCGATACCATGGACAGGAGCAAGCGATTAAATCCTTCCCTAAGATACATTTTACGAGAATCTGACGTTAAACAAATTAACAGCAACAAGCTCAAATGCAGTATTTGTATAAGTTCTTAACAGTAACATGCTCAAATGCATTTGTATAAGTTTCCAGACATACGATTCACGAAACGAGATTCTGGATATATCGCTAGCTTTATTATATACACTAACACAAACTAAATTAGAACAAAGAGAAAGAAATTGACCTGTTGCGTTCGTAATACGGCAAATCCCTAATTTTGGAGAACTTTTTATCGGCTTTAGCTACAAGAGACCAGTAGACTTCACTCACGGGTACATTCAAGTTACTAGTAGTAATATTGCTCTGCGACATTTCTTTTCTTCTAATTCCTACTACTTCTCAACAATTTTGCATCAACATATAGCGCATTGATGCCAATTAGTTGCACGAAAATTGGTTGACGTTCATCATCTGATCATTTTAGGTATGAGAGAGAGAGAGAGAGAGAGAGAGAGAGAGTGGGCTTATGAAAATGCTTATGAATGGGCTTAACCCCTAGTAACTTCTATTCTTCACAAGTAATTAAATCTGTTTAAACCCTTGTAACTCCTACAATATTAAAGTCCACGTCAGCTTTAGTTGATTAGTTTGTTAATATTTTGGGATAATCAGTTTTAGTTAGTTACTCTGTTAATATTTTGGGAAAATCATAAAAATGATTATTATAATTATTATAGGAGATATAGGTCAATGACTTAACTTCATATATCAAAACCATTATCAATCCCAAATTAGTATTCCGGATATAGATTATGTGTAGATATCGCCAATAAAACTTTTGGGTTTTTGCGATTTTATTTTTGTTTCATCTCATACTTTTTATTCAAGTTTCTAGTTTACTTTTTTAATCTTTCTTTTCATCGATTTTATCTTTTTTCTAATTCAAACAAGAACTATCAAAAAGGTAATATATTCATTTTACTAGTTAAACAAACAATATTTTTGTATTGACAAAACTGCAAGATTGGTCACTGTAGTATTCAAAAAACTTTGAATAGGTCCAAAAAGTTTTTCACTTCATAGAATGTCCAAAATCAAGATTTTTCTGTGTTTTTGGTCCAAAAAAACATGAAAAGACGGTTATACCCTTTTATTTTCTTTTTTATATTTTTTTTTAATTTTTCAAATACTATTTTAATTTAAAAATAAAAGGAAAAGAAAATAATTATCCTCTCTCTCTCTCTTCGATTGAAATGTTTCTTCTCCAACACATTAAAACTAAACTGATCAACAACCCTCTAATTCACCCTAATTCAAGGATCTCAAAACACATACACACGCACACGAACACAAAATCTGCCAAACCCAAGCACTTTATACCTCTCATCGAATCGCAAGACACCCACTGTATCTGGTATTCTAATTTGGATCTCCCCGACCTTGTGCTCTAATAACGGTTCCATTATCGACACATCCATGTCCGATATCCTCTCCTTTTCTTTCTGGTTTGGATCTCGTATACTCGAAAATTATTTCACCAGGGATAAAGTTGAAGAAATTATTATTGGTATTGGAGTCCAGGAGAGAACTTGTGAGGAATCAAGATCCTTCACAACACTAGAAAGAATCCCCGTTGCTACGCCCTCTGACATCTTAATCCCCTTCTTCAAGAACTCGTTTCCCCATTTTAATCGATCTATAGTCACATCTCCACTCCACACAATCCCCTTAATTAACTGACTTGATCCTACAACAATCATCCTTGCAACAAACCCATTGTAATCCTCAACATTTTGTGCCAACGTCGTCTGCCAGGGTTTTTTAACAGCATCAAAAGAGAATAATGTGATTTTTCATGGTTCTTGAAATAAAAATCATACCTTTACAGATAATTTGATAAACCCACTTGTGGTTGATCGAAGAAAGTTAAAATTGAGTAAATCTTGCTCCTATACCTCAAAGGATTCTACTTGAAATTTATAACGAAGAGCAATGTTACTAGGCAATCAAAGCCCTGCTTTCGCCTTCAAAGTTCATGCCACCAACATTAGATGCAACCACCTCCACCCATCATCTCCACACCCATGTTCTTCGAATCAGGTACCACCTGCAAGTTACAATCAGATTCAATAACCATGTTCATCGTTCTCTTCTGTTTACATCATGACCTTGTTCAACGTATCACCAGACGTGTGGATCGAGAGATAGAGTAAAAGAGAACGGAGATTAGAGTTTTAGCCATTTTGGGGTTTTAGTAAGAGAGAGAGAGAGAGAGAGAGAAAGAGAGAGAGAGGGTGGAGAGAGACGTAAGAGAGATAGAGTTTTACCCATTTTTTTATTATCATTATTATTGAAATGTTAATAAAATGTAAAAAAATGTAAAAGTAAATAAATAAGGGTATAACCGTCTTATTAAGTTTTTTTGGACCAAAAACACAGAAAAACCTTGATTTTGGACTTTCTATGCAAGTAAAAAACTTTTTGGACCATATTCAAGGTTTTTTAATACCAGGTGGACCAATCTTGCAGTTTTGTTTTTTGTATTTAACGTTACGTTTGTTATATTTTTGTAACTATCACCCAGGGTAAGACGCGTGTTTTACAATCAAAATAGTATGTAATTATGTATACTTATGTTTACTTTTTTTAACTCCTATAAATAGAAAATGAGATTTAATCTTTTACTACAAATTTATAAGTTGGTTTTCAAATAGCAATCCATAAAAACATTTGAACTGAGATCAATTAGAACAATATGATACCAATGGTGATTCTTACTATAGAAGTAAATAATAAAAATAAAAATTAATATGATTTTATAGACCTTTTTTCAATATTCTATTATGATTCTTATCAAACCCGTTTTAAGGAATTAGCAAACGGAGAAACCAAAAAAAATACATTGTTTTTACTAATATGCCTATTGTGATTCCTAATACATTAGTGAAAGGGAGAAAAAAAAGACATTCTTAAAAATGGTCTATAAGAATCACAATTGAATACTTTCATATGAATGTTTATTTATATTTTTACTCTTGTATTATAAATCAAAACATGTATTACTTTGTTCTAGTTGATCACGGTATAAATATTTTGTAATGATTTCAAGAAACAATATATAAATTTATAGTAAAAATTGAATATTAATTCATATGTTCAAGAGTTAAAAAAAAAAAGTAAAGATAAGCAAGAAGTTGAGAAAAACAATGATTGTGATGATAAAAGCCATAGAAAAAAAATAATAGGAATTAATAAGCTTGTCGAACGGAGTAAAGGCAATTGGAGTCAAAGTGAGTTCACAAAACAAAGCTTAACGAAAGAGGAAATGTGCAAAAGTTTACAGTAAAGTTGGTAGTATTCTCAACCACACGGTGTAAATTATACGAAAGTGTTTGTACCGGTGGTAAGACTTGTTTTTGAACGGCAAAATTTTATTAAAAAAAAGCAAGAAACTAGGAATATTTTAGCTTCATGTGAAAAGTGTTTTTCCTTCATGGAGATCTCAACTCAGAAGTGGTCGTTCATCAACCGGAAGGTTTTTTTAAGAAATGAAAACGATTAAATATAGAATATAAGAGATGTTTGGGATTGAAAAGTGTTTTCCTTCATGGAGATTTCATGTAGCACATATGATGTGATTTAGCTAGAGACACATGTCCGACATTTGCAAAAGAAAATTTGAAAATAGAATATAAGAGATGTTTGAGATTGAGTTTCAAAATTGCTTACGCAATACAGAGTGAGAAGGAGTGTTTTACAGGTTGGCCACCTTCCACATCATCGTCATGTCAACTGTAACGCTCATAGATTCGGGCTAGTAAATTTAGAGATAATAAGCGCTAAAAATAACTTTTTGATAGAAGATTATTTAGGATAAATAATCATAACCAAAGTTATAGTATATGTCACAAGGATTCTGTACATATAAAGAACGCTGAAATCTGACTTATAACGAAGAAGATATGACTCGTTGAAATTTCGCGATTTAAACCGGCATGACTCTACGTAACGTAAAAAATAATTTTTTTTATAAAATACTTTTGAGCCTAAGTGATCTAAGGGAAATTCGTAGTAGTCGTCAAACCGAGAGCATGCGTATAAAGAACGTCTAAATCTTATTTCGTTACAGGAAGTTATGATTTTTCTAAGATTCATCATAGCGGTATACAACTCAGAAATCGAATTTTAGATTGTTCGATTTTTAGCCGAAACAATCTAAACGATAATTGAAGACCTCGTTAATAGAAGTTCAACGATAAAAAGACAGACAAAAACGGACGTCGGATAACAAAGTTATTAATTTTTAACAGACTTTAACAGTTTAATCCTGTTAAAATATAACTTTAAAAATAAAGTCAAAACTAGCCGATGGAGTCTAAACGAAAGCTGTAGATTTCATCGATAGCTACGCGTGGATATAAAAAATATTAAAAACGGAGTTCATATGAACAAGTTATAATTTATAATAGCATATTTACGTATTAAAATAAAGTATAAATCATATATATATATATATATATATATATATATATATATATATATATATATATCATTATAAAAGTATCGATGATGCGGTCATTATAAGACTAATATTGAATACTTTCGATATTAGTTTAGTACAAATATCGTTAAATATATTTAAAATAGTATTATAAAGAGCGTTTGGTCGTTTAAATAACTATAAGGTTGTTTAAGTAACTATAAATGATAGTTTTTAAAAATTCAATTACTATAAATATGAGGTTCTATGCTCTCATATTTCTTGCACCATTCTCTTGATTCAAGAGTCTTTAGCTTCTTATCCCCGATCATTTCGGTCCCTCGTGATTCGACTTCTCTTTCTGTAGTTTTAGTATAGTAAGGTGAGTGTTGAAGTAAGAATCTTTTTAGAAAAAAGATTTAGCGACGAAGTTCTGACCATGGAGTTCTAAGTTTTCTCTAGAAACCTTGTAAGTTAAACTACACCTATTACGCTTTAAGTGTAACTTATGTTTAAATTCATTATCGTTATTATGAACCTATAAACAAGATTTATCAGTGATTCAAAGTCATTATACTGATTGATCTACTTACGGGGATGATGACAATGCTAGATTTAGTGAGGTGTTTAAAGTGAGCTTTCCAAACAGTATACTTTGTATACCAAACGGACCCTACCTCCGATATGATCTTACCTGGTTGTCCCTTATCGGCTATAGATCAGTAGACTTTGAATTAATGATGAATCTAGACTAATAATTAGTCGCAATAAATATTAGACTAAGACTCAGTGATAATAATACTAGGTTACGTCGAAAGAAAAAGACAGTTGCTAGAAGCAAAGCGTTGTCCGAGTTTCGAGTCATCACTTTAACAAGTGAGTGCATAGTTACTTTCATCTTACACATAGATATGAAATATTTAATATAAATACATTCTATATGTGTCTATTATATGTGTTCCTGATATCTATGCTAGATGAACGATGTATACATGTTTTACTTGATTTAAATTGTAT